CCAGAACGATTTTTAAAGGGAAATTTGGCATGGGAGACAGACACTTGGGGATGGCTCGCAGGCCCACGCGTCTGGTTCCGCGGGCTTATCTTGAGTGAAACTCCTGCTGGAGGTCTGGTTGGCTTGGCCTCAACTACAGCTGTGGGTTAACCCTCTCGGAGAAGCCCTGCATCAGGACTCCGTTGCGCAGCAAAGGCCTAGAGGATGGCGTAACGGACATCGGAAACTCAGAAGGGGAGGACCAGCAGGGGAGGAGGGATCAAACGTCACCTGTCAGGTACAACGTGCACAGCTAGGGGTGGTGGGTGCCCTTAAAGCCCAGACTCCTTGGCCACTATGCAAGCATCCGTGTGACCAAAAACTATTTGTACGCCTTAAAGCTATGGAAATTAAAAGAAAAACAAAAGATCTCCATTCCTGGTCTGTTTTAAGATTAATCTCTGGAACTCTAAAGCAAGCATGTGATCAGGTGAGCATGCATTCCAGAGGACAGAGGAGGAAGGAACAAGGAGGAAGAAAGAGAAAAATACTTTTTTCAAAAATCAGATTTTTTCAAAGCAGTATTCTTTTTTTTTTTTTTTCCTTGAGTTGGAGTCTGTTTTTATTTTTTTTTTTTTATTGAATTGGAGTCTCACTCTGTCGCCCAGACTGGAGTGCAGTGGCCTCTCCCGGCCACCGCAGCCTCGACCTGCTGGGCTCCAGCGATCCTTTGAGAGGACAATAATAGACTTAGGTTAAGAGCATGCTATTGAGAGACCCAAGAAATCAAGAAACTTAAAAAGCCATGCTTGCTGTAAAAGTAGTGTTTAGTTCACTATATTTCATATATCCCTACCTCATGTTTACTATATATTTTGTGTATTCCTACCTCATGTTCATTGTACTTTATGAAATCTTAGTACTTTAAATCCTACCTCAGACCCCGTAGAATTAGGCATATGTCAGGTGCCGGGTAGTGACTGATTGTGTAGTTATATAAAATGTCTTAAGTGGTGTTTGTGTTTAGAACTCTTAGGTTAAGCATTGTCAGTCCTAATTGCCTTACTGACTTCTGCTTTTACTGACTTCTGCTTTTTCCAGTCTGGGCGACAGAGTGAGACTCCAACTCAAAAAAAAAAAGAGGACATTGTCGAAAACTGTGAAAACTGTGAATGGGGTTCCGCTGATAACATAGTAGCAATGTGTGAGTGTTTGTTTCCTGGTGTCAAAGCCACTTTGTTGTTATGGGGAACTACTCCTTGCAGGAGGCATACTCTAAAGCATTTGAGATCATGAACATTAGCCTGGCGATTTATTCCCAAATGGTTCAGAAGGGAGGAAATAACTATTTGTGCTGTTCTAAAATTTTTCTGTAAATATGAAATCATTTAAAAATTAGAATTATCTGTAGCACTAAAAAATAAGAGAAAAAAAGCACAAGGAAATTGGTAAAAAAAAAAATGGGCAAATCTAAATATTGACTATGAAACAATAATGATGTCTAACTTGTAATCCCAGCATTTTGGGAGGCCGAGGCGAGAGGATTGCCTGAGCCCAGGGGTTCGAGACCAGCCGGGGCAACTTGGTGAGATCTCATCACTACAATAAATCAAAAAATTAGCTGGGCAAGGTGGCATGCACCTGTAATTCCAGCTACTTGGAAGGCTGAAGCAGAAGAATTGCCTGAGCCCAGCAGGTCAAGGCTGTGGTGGCCAAGAGTGTGCCACTTACACTCCAGCCTGGGCAACAGAGTGAGACTCCTACTCAAAAAAATAGGTTAAAAGACAAGACAGCAATCATATATAAGATGGAGTATATACAAATTAAAGCATTCTAAGTGTCTTGATTATTAAGAAGAATGAAGATATTTATCAAATTTAGATTGTGCTAATTTAGGAATGCATAAGAAAAATACCTACAAAGAATAAATAAATAACGAGCAAAGGGGAGAAAAGAAAAATTGGTCCAAATGAAGACAAGAAAGGGGAAGGAAGGAAGGAGAATTATAGAAAACCCAAAGTAAGATGATCACAAGAAATCCAGGCAGATGGAAACAAAAAGCAAACATGAGCGATAATATCTTATGAGAGAAGGAGAATTTACAGATAAAAACATGAACTAGGGCACACGTGGCCTAGCGGAACAGAATAGTGAATTCAAAAATAAATCCAAATACCTACAACCAACTGATCTTCAGCAAAGCAGATAAGAACATACACTGGGCCAGGCATGGTGGCTTATGCCTATAATTCCAGGATTTCAGGAGGCTGAGGTGAGAGAATTGTCTGAGCCCACAGGTTCAAGACCAACCTGGACAACTTGGCGAGACCTCATCTCTACAATAAATCAAAAAATTAGCCAGGCATGGTGGTGTGTACCTGTAGTTCCAGCTCCTTGGAAGGCTGAGGCGGAAGGATTGCCTGAGCCCAGCAGGTCGAGGCTGCAGTGGCCATGAGCATGCCACTGTACTCCAGCCTGGGTGACAGAATGAGACTCAAAAAAAAAAAAAGAACATACACTGGAGAAAGGACATCCTAGTCAACAAATGGTGCTGGGAAAATTGGCTAGCCACATGCAGAAGGATGAAACGAGATTCCTGTCTCTCACTGTATACAAAA